GATCTTGTGGATTTTTGAACGGAGAGGAGGAGGAAGAAGAGAGGCGGCGGCGTCGGGGGTTTACTCTCGCCTCCGTCGTTCTCTCGTACGCTTTACATAATAGCGTTAAACACAGCAGAGTGTCGCCGACCGGCTGAGCAAGACCGGCGGCAAATAAAATGGCACATACGAGCGTGTCGCGCGCGCGTCGGTGTTTCGGCATCGAACGCGCGCGCGCGCGAAAAAGAGCTAGCGACGAGTCTTCGGGCTCGCTCGCGAGTTACTCCCTTGCGAGTAACCGAACACGAAGCTCCCTGGTTGATCCTGCCAGTAGTCATATGCTTGTCTCAAAGATTAAGCCATGCATGTCTCAGTGCATGCCGAATTAAGGTGAAACCGCGAATGGCTCATTAAATCAGTTATGGTTCATTAGATTGTACCCACATTTACTTGGATAACTGTGGTAATTCTAGAGCTAATACATGCAAAACAGAGTCCCGACCAGTGATGGAAGGGACGCTTTTATTAGATCAAAACCAATCGGTGGCGGGCGGCTCGCCGTTCGTCCACCGTTTATTTTGGTGACTCTGAATAACTTTGTGCTGATCGCACGGTCCTAGCACCGGCGACGCATCTTTCAAATGTCTGCCTTATCAACTGTCGATGGTAGGTTCTGCGCCTACCATGGTTGTAACGGGTAACGGGGAATCAGGGTTCGATTCCGGAGAGGGAGCCTGAGAAACGGCTACCACATCCAAGGAAGGCAGCAGGCGCGCAAATTACCCACTCCCGGCACGGGGAGGTAGTGACGAAAAATAACGATACGGGACTCATCCGAGGCCCCGTAATCGGAATGAGTACACTTTAAATCCTTTAACGAGGATCCATTGGAGGGCAAGTCTGGTGCCAGCAGCCGCGGTAATTCCAGCTCCAATAGCGTATATTAAAGTTGTTGCGGTTAAAAAGCTCGTAGTTGAATCTGTGTCGCACACCGTCGGTTCACCGCTCGCGGTGTTTAACTGGCGTGATGTGGGACGTCCTACCGGTGGGCTTAGCCTCGCGAGGGGCGGCCCAACTAATATCCCGTCGCGGTGCTCTTTACTGAGTGTCGAGTCGGGCCGGTACGTTTACTTTGAACAAATTAGAGTGCTTAAAGCAGGCTACCTTCGCCTGAATACTGCGTGCATGGAATAATGGAATAGGACCTCGGTTCTATTTTGTTGGTTTTCGGAACCCCGAGGTAATGATTAATAGGGACAGATGGGGGCATTCGTATTGCGACGTTAGAGGTGAAATTCTTGGATCGTCGCAAGACGGACAGAAGCGAAAGCATTTGCCAAAAATGTTTTCATTAATCAAGAACGAAAGTTAGAGGTTCGAAGGCGATCAGATACCGCCCTAGTTCTAACCATAAACGATGCCAGCTAGCGATCCGCCGAAGTTCCTCCGATGACTCGGCGGGCAGCTTCCGGGAAACCAAAGCTTTTGGGTTCCGGGGGAAATATGGTTGCAAAGCTGAAACTTAAAGGAATTGACGGAAGGGCACCACCAGGAGTGGAGCCTGCGGCTTAATTTGACTCAACACGGGAAACCTCACCAGGCCCAGACACCGGAAGGATTGACAGATTGATAGCTCTTTCTTGATTCGGTGGGTGGTGGTGCATGGCCGTTCTTAGTTGGTGGAGCGATTTGTCTGGTTAATTCCGATAACGAACGAGACTCTAGCCTGCTAAATAGGCGTACCCTATGGTATCGCGGAACTTTTGAAAGAAAATCTGCCCGATTTTTTAGAAGAAGTGCCACTATTTGAAAGAAATAAAATGTTCTTTCAACAAGACGGTGCTTGACCACACAACGCCAGGATTGTAACAAACTACTTGAACGAGCAGTGTTCGAGATTCGAACGGTAATAACCCGCGGACAAGAAAGCGTTAAAATATTCATGCATCTCGATCATGCCTCATGCAGCATGCATATAATTTATTAATTAATATCGTGGTCTAACATGCGTATTTTAAATTATATTTAAATTAGCGCTCGGCCGCGAGAGTATACGGATACTCCGCGCCTTCGAAAATAAGCGCTTAAAACAGTCTAAATTGTAAACACCGCTGTCGCGCGAGAGGAGAGAAAAACAAGTAAATAATTACAGTAAACGTTCCTTCACCCTTAATATCACAATAGAACGACAGCAAATGTACTCGAATATTCTAGAATTACAAGGCGTATATAAGCCTCCTCTCTCGCGACCGCGGCGCTTTTTCCGATTGCTCATCGCGAATAAAGTGTGTTCATACGATAAAGATTGCTTGTCTTTGTCTAATTCATTACCGTTGCTTGCGGACACTTAGTAATTTACGACTCGGCTAATTCTCTCGGTAAATTCGGTGCGGTATATTAATTGTAATTTTTGTTAATAGTTTATATAAATATATTTTTTTTGTGAACGTTACGCGTGTGTCGAGTGTTGTGTCTATTTCTCGGTCTCGCTTCCGACCACGTCCTATCCATCTTTCCGTCGCGCACATTTTTTGGTCCTTCGAGCCGGATTCCTCCGGAACCTCCTGTGAATCCGGTGCCACGGAAGCGATTGTGATTGAGTGTCGGTGACCAGTGCTTCTGGAACAGAGAAACATTGTTAGAAATGACAGACACGAAGGCGATCATTGCCACCGCCACGGTGCTGTACGGCAAGATCTCGCGCGCGTTCGAGAACCTGCGGAAGCTCGGCGAGGCCAATATGACCCTCGGCGCGGTGGAGGCCCGGCTTCAAAATCTCGAGAAGCTATGGGATAAATTCGACGCTCTTAATGATACGTTAGCCGATCGGGTTGACGAAATAAAGCATGAGGTCTACGCTAAACAGGACATCCCGTCCTTAGGCGAGGAAGCTTACCTGCTGAACAAGGACCTCATGCTCGATCTGAAGAGCGCTCTCCAGCTGCAGCTACAGGCAGCCAGCTCTACCGCGGCCGCGACAACTAGTCCCGCTCCTCGGACAGCGCTGCCAAAAATCCAACCGCCTACCTTCGCCGGGAAATACGAGGATTGGCCTTCATTCCGGGATCTGTTCCAATCCCTCATCGGCCGGAATCAGGCAGCAAAACCTGTGGAGAAGTTACACTACTTAAAACTTTGTGTGAAGGGTGACGCCGATCTGCTGATTCGTAACCTCAGCACCACAGAAGACAACTATGAAATCGCCTGGAAAACTCTAAGCGATTATTACGAGAACAAAAGATTGCTGACTCGTAATTATCTGAATAATTTCTTAGCGTTGACCAAGATGAAAAGCGAATCCGCCGCTGAATTGAGGAGGCTTTTCCATGGAGTAAAAACAACTGTCAGCTCCCTGAAGAGCATAGACCGACCGATAGACCGCACGGAGGATCTCTTCGTCCACCTCGTCGTAGAGCTCCTCGACAGCCGCTCTAGGCGAGAATGGGAGAGTGATATAAGTCACACCACGAGTCCGCCAAGCTACGCCTCGCTTGAGGCCTTCATAGAACGTCGGCTCCATACGTTGGAGGCGCTGTTTCCGGCCAGGAACGACAGCAGCAGCTCCAGCACTACGAAATCAACGAGGAGCCACCACGTCAAAGGCCAAGATCCAAAAGAGAAGTCCAGAAGCCGGTGCTCCATCTGCCAGGGGGACCACTTTGTTATGTTCTGCGGCGACTATAAGGATAAGACGGCGATGGCGCGTAAGCAGCTCGTCCGTGAGCATAAGCTCTGCTCAAACTGCCTTGGCCGGCATCAATCTTCCGAGTGCTCTTCGAAGAAGACGTGTACAGCGTGTGGCAGTCGACATCACTCCTCGCTTCACGATGCATTCCGGGAAGCCGAGGCCGCCACGACGTCTCACGTGGCTCAAGGCGCAGACTCTTCCTCCGCAACGGTGCTGCTCGCTACGGCTAGGGTCCGCGTCCTCGACTGCCACGGAAGCTGGCAGTCCGCTCGCGCTCTGATCGACCAGGGCTCCGAATCCTCCATCATTTCGGAGCGATTAGCGCAGCGCTTACGACTCCCTAGAAGAGCAGCCGCCGTTAGTGTCTATGGAGTCGGAGAGAAAAGGACCGGAGTGACAAAGGGGAAGTGAGACTCACCCTGCAGTCGCGCAGAGGGGAATCGCCCACCTTCGTCAACGCTTTGGTGCTGCCGAAGTTGACGCTGTTTTCCGGAGGATGCCGCAGCAGTAGACGAACCTGGACCCATCTGGAGGACCTGGAGCTCGCCGATCCGGAATTCTGCTCCTCGGACCCCGTCGACATCCTACTGGGAGCCGACGTATATGGGACCATCATCCGTCAGGGTCTACGAAAAGGAGGTTCTAAGGATCCAGTAGCTCAAACAAACCTCGTGGGCTGGATCTNCTAAGGATCCAGTAGCTCAACAAACCTCGTTGGCTGGATTCTCTCAGGTACAGTTAGCTCGACGGCGCCCAGCCAACACATCTCCGCTCATCACTGCCAAATCGAGGAGGACATCACCTGCTTGGTGCGGCGGTTCTGGGAGCAGGAGGAAGTCCACCGGCCATCTCCGACCCTCACCAAGGCGGAACTAGAGTGCGAGGAGCACTACCGCCGTCATCACTCGCGCTCTCCTGACGGCAGGTACATAGTGCGGCTGCCAACGATCGAGCCTCTCCCGGATCTGTCTGGGACTCGTCGCGCCGCCAGTCGTGCTCTGCAACAGACGGAGAAAAGGTTAGAGAAAGATGCCGACTTTAAGGACATGTACGTAGAGTTCATGCAAAAGTACAAGGAACTGCGACATATGATGCTTGCACCAGCGCCAGCTGAGCCACAACGAGGTACCTGTTACCTGCCGCATCACGGGGTCCTGCGTCCGGACAGCACTTCCACTAAGCTGAGGGTCGTGTTCAACGGCTCGAGCTCCTTGCCGAACGGGGACCTCTCAACCAATTTCTTCTGACTGGACCGAATCTGCTTCCTGCGCTGGCTGACATCCTGCTGCGTTGGCGACGCCACAGATACGTCTTCGCTGCCGATATCGAAAAGATGTATCGGCAGATCCTAGTGCATCCGGACGATCGAAGCCTGCAGCGAATCCTGTGGAGAGACGACTCTAAGAACGACGTCCAGGAGTTCTGGCTATGCACGGTCACTTACGGGCTCTCATGCGCCCCGTATCTGGCCATCCGTACCTTACGCCAACTCGCCGAGGACGAAGAGCATCGCTTTCCGAAAGGCGCCGACATCCTGCGGAGCGATGTCTACATGGATGACATCCTGTCCGGTGCCGAGAATCAAGAGGAAGCAGAATCTATGGTGAGGCAGCTGACAAATATATGCACGGCGGGCGGGTTCACACTAAAAAAGTGGTCTACAAACGCCTCCTACCTGCTGAGCCTCGTGGAACCGGACGCGCGCCTGCAACAAGAGGCCAGATGGTGGCTGCCCGGCGAGAGTCATTCCACTCTCGGCCTTCGATGGCAACCGTGCGACGACCGCTTCGCCTTCGCCACCCACCGGATCACTCTCTCAGCGGTCACCAAAAGGTCGGTCCTTTCTTTGACGGCCAAATTATTCGATCCACTCGGCTGGCTGTCTCCAACGACTGTGCTGGCCAAAATCAACATCCAGGCTACCTGGCTACTAGGTCTCGACTGGGACGCGTCTCTGCCAAGCGAGGAAGCCAGAAAATGGCTGCGATTCCAGGAGGAGCTAGCGGCATTGGAGAAACTAGTCGTGCCTTGTTGGTTAGGAGCCCTAGCTGACTCCCATCAAGAGGTTCACGGATTTGCCGATGCCTCCGAACGTGCCTACGCCGCAGTCATCTACCTGCGAACAAACACAAACGGAGTTAGGAGAGTGACTTTATTAGCTGCGAAGACCAAGCTCGATTGGTCGCCCACGTCGTGCCTCTTATTGGCGCAGAAAAGGCGCCTCTCCATCTGTGGTCGGATTCCACCGTGACTCTCGGCTGGATCCGGGGCCACCCTTCGTCCTGGGTCACTTACGTCGCTAATCGGGTGAGTGAGATCCAGACGCTGACTCCGGACGCCCACTGGCACCACGTCCCCGGCCGAGAGAATCCCGCGGACTGCGCGTCACGAGGACTCTACCCCAGCGAGCTTGTGGACCATTCACTATGGTGGCAAGGTCCGTCGTGGCTGTCCTCCGAGAGCCAACCGTGGACGATCAACTGCGAGGAGCCACCAGAGGATGACCTCCCAGAGAGGCGCGTCCGCGCCCACGTCGCCGCCATCGCCGAACAAAGGACTGAGCCGGAGATGCTTCTTCGATACTCGTCGCTACAACGCCTGCTCCGGATCACTGCGTGGTGCCGTCGCTGGCTGCGGATCCATCGTCAGGACCACCTCGCGCATGGCCAGCCCGGCTTGAACAGCGCCGACGAGATCGAGGACTCCCGGATCTCCTGGTTAAAAATCATCCAGGCTGAAACATACAAAGAAGAACTGAGACACCTGAAGAATGGAAAGCCTCTGCCGACTCGAAGCTCCCTACTGAAGCTAAGTCCTTTCTGGACAGTGAGGGACTCCTACGCGTCGGCGGGCGCCTTAAACACGCTGCACTGCAGTATGATGCCACGCATCCAACCATACTACCAAGCAGATCTAATTTTACTTGCCTCATCATCGACGACTACCACAAGCGGACGCTGCACGGCGGCACCCAGTTGACTTTGTGCTCTCTTCGCCAGGAGTATTGGGTCCCTCGAGGTCGCGCTCTAGTGAAGAGCCGCATCAGCCGGTGTCTAAGGTGCACCAGATGGCGGGCTGCCATCCCTCAGCCACTGATGGGGGACCTCCCGGCACCACGAGTTACTCCAGGCCGGCCGTTTCTGCATACCGGCGTAGACTACGCCGGACCGATTTGGATGCGAACAGCAGGGGGCCGCGGACTCAAGGCGACAAAAGGTTTTATTGTTGTCTTTATTTGTTTAGCTTCCCGAGCAGTCCACCTCGACGCGGCCTCGGACTACACCGCTGACGCCTTCCTTGCCGCCTTGCGTCGGTTCGTCGCCAGGCGAGGAGTCTGCCACTCGCTATATAGCGACTGCGGCACCAACTTCGTGGGTGCCGATAAGCAGCTTAGGCAACTATTCTCCGCCGCCAGTGCCGACGGACATCGCATCGCAACCTTCGCCGCCCAGGAAAGAATCCGGTGGCGGTTCAACCCGCCAGCTGCACCTAACTTCGGCGGTTTATGGGAAGCTGCCGTGAAAGCGATGAAGCACCACCTTCGGCGAGTCATCGGTGACGCCACCCTCACCTACGAGGAGATGACTACTCTCCTAGCCCAAATTGAGGCCTGCCTCAATTCCAGACCGCTGCAGCCGTTGTCTGACGATCCGGAGGATGTAGCCGCACTCACACCTGGTCACTTCCTGGTCGGCTCCGCTCTCTCGGCGATCCCCGAACCGTCGCTCGAACGAGAGCCGTCGGCACGTCTCTCACGGTGGCAGCTCCTGCAAAACATGAAGGACCATTTCTGGTCTCGGTGGGTCAGCGAATACTTACACACGCTGGCCCATCGGCCGAAATGGTCCCGAATTAATCAGGAGGCTCGCGTCGGTCGAATCTGCCTCGTGCGAAACGAAATAACACCACCAACACGGTGGCCGCTTGCGCGCATTACACGACTGCATCCAGGTTCCGACGGTAACGTTCGCGTAGTCGACGTCCGCACCTCGACCACAAATTTGACGCGTCCCGTGAACAAGTTAGTCTTTCTGACCGACGGCTCCGAAGACTCACTCGAATCGCAATCACGCGTCGTCCGCGTTTAAAAAATTTACACTTTTCTCTATTCCATATTCACATTCATTATTTTTTTTCACTAAATTTTCATTATTCTCCTCACAATTGTACTTCACACTCACAGTCACTTGCACATCGCCAGCATACGGTCTACGCGACGCTTAACCTATACGCGTCTATACTGACTCCCAGTATAAACAGCTGATCGATTCAGCATTCCGTTCTCTAAATCAATCGGAGCACGTGCGCTCCACGTGTCCGTCACGCACGAGCGCGTGAATAGGCTCGTGCCCCACTCTCGCGCTGAGAACACGATTGCAGGTATATTACTGCAAGGCGGGCGGAATGTTCGAGATTCGAACGGTAATAACCGCGGACAAGAAAGCGTTAAAATATTCATGCATCTCGATCATGCCTCATGCAGCATGCATATAATTTATTAATTAATATCGTGGTCTAACATGCGTATTTTAAATTATATTTAAATTAGCGCTCGGCCGCGAGAGTATACGGATACTCCGCGCCTTCGAAAATAAGCGCTTAAAACAGTCTAAATTGTAAACACCGCTGTCGCGCGAGAGGAGAGAAAAACAAGTAAATAATTACAGTAAACGTTCCTTCGCCCTTAATATCACAATAGAACGACAGCAAATGTACTCGAATATTCTAGAATTACAAGGCGTATATAAGCCTCCTCTCTCGCGACCGCGGCGCTTTTTCCGATTGCTCATCGCGAATAAAGTGTGTTCATACGATAAAGATTGCTTGTCTTTGTCTAATTCATTACCGTTGCTTGCGGACACTTAGTAATTTACGACTCGGCTAATTCTCTCGGTAAATTCGGTGCGGTATATTAATTGTAATTTTTGTTAATAGTTTATATAAATATATTTTTTTTGTGAACGTTACGCGTGTGTCGAGTGTTGTGTCTATTTCTCGGTCTCGCTTCCGACCACGTCCTATCCATCTTTCCGTCGCGCACAAGCAGTTTCCTGGACGTTGGATGGGTCGGTATGGCCCGATACGTTGGCCCGCAAGATCCCCGGACCTTAATTCTCTTGATTTCTTTTTATGGGGATACTGTAAGGAATCAATATACAAAACGCTTCCCGAGAACGTCGACGACTTAGAAACCAGATTGCGATATGTAATTTGGAATATCGAAGAGGAAGTAATGGAGAACGTCCAATTAAATTTATTTAAACGCATGCGAGCTTGCATAAGGATGGATGGTGGTCATTTTGAGCACCTATTATAAATTAATCCGCTCTTTTCAGAGCGACCAAAGTCAATCCGCTCTTTTCAGAGCGACCAAAGTCAATCCGCTCTTTTCAGAGCGACCAATACATTTATACATGGAACATCTTGTTCGCAAAACATAATCATTTTCTCACGTCTCGCTTAAAAAGAAAGGGCAAAACGGGCGGATAATGTTAAGTCATTAAAAAAAATGTATTATAACGTAAAAAATTATAATACGTTATAATATGCCTTTTTTAATAACATAATTATTATACGTTTTAATACATGTCTCGCGTCAATCACATGTTCGGCAACGCCGCGTGATTGTTATCGTCTAGACGTGTCGCGAAGCGTCGCGACGCGTTGCGTCATCCGTCGCCGCAGTCTGTTGTCGTGTCCTTGCCGTGTAAACAATTGTCGTCCGCATCGAGTAACGTGTGCCTTTTTACAAGTAATTTTTAATAATTAATCGGTACACTGAGAGAATTTTCTCTTAAAATTTACCCTAAAAGTTATGGTAATTGTGAGACAATACGGTATGAAAAGAATTTTATTAAAATTTCTCTGATTAATATTTATCACATTAAAAATAATATCTATCACAATAAAATATGAAATATGTGTGATTAATTTTACTAAACTGTATAGTAAAATTAATCAAACATATTTTATATTTTCTTGTGATACATATTATTATTTTTAATATAATAAATAGTAGAGAAATTCTAATAAAATTCTTTCCACATTGTTGAAGATTCGTTCTTCGGATCGAATCCTCGAGGACGATCGAATTTTCTAGAATGTTTTTTTGTTAAATTCCTTAGTGTTTACGCCAAGGAAACACGTGAAACCAACGTGTACACTCGCCGCTAATTGGCGTGTGTACATCGCCTGATTTTCTGATGGTCCAATCGAGGACCCCGATCGGCTGCCGCCCTACGCGAGCTCCGAAATTCGCGCAGCCCTCGAGTCAGTCCTCGAGAGAGCGAGCGCCGAGAAACATAAGTCTCGGTACGCGACGAACTTGTAGAAAGTGAATAAACTAATTTATAAGAGTTTTAACAAGGCTCTGTAATATAAATATAAATTTAACGTATAAGACGGGCAACAAGAGCCAAATCGCGGATGACAATGCGTTATCCTAACGAAACTAAATAATTTTCCGTTAGAATTAAATACCGGTGCACAAGGCACCAAATTTTACTTGGACACGGCCAAGATTTTAAAATATAAAATAATCTCATATTTGAGATTTAATTTCAATACCCCTTTTTTTTTAACCCCCTACGGAAATTAAATAAATGAATGCAAGAGAAACATATAGATCCGAAAATCGGGGATTCCCGATTCAGCGATTTTCGGATCTATATTTTTCTCTTGCATTCATTTATTTAATTTCCGTAGGGGGGTTAAAAAAAAAAAAAAAAAAAAAAAAAAGGGGGTATTGAAATTAAATCTCAAATATGAGATTATTTCATATTTTAAAATCTTGGCCGTGTCCAAGTAAAATTTGGTGCCTTGTGCACCGGTATTTAATTCTAACGGAAAATTATTTAGTTTCGTTAGGATAACGCATTGTCATCCGCGATTTGGCTCTTGTTGCCCGTCTTATACGTTAAATTTATATTTATATTACAGAGCCTTGTTAAAACTCTTATATTGATACACGCTGGCTTAAAAATGCGTTTGTTTACCAACATTAATATATATAACAGAGAAAAGTATAGAATCGAAAGGATTTGAATAGCTCAGCTGGAAGAGCAGTCGCCCGGCAAGCGAAAGGTCTCGGGTTCGTTTCCCGATTCAGCGATTTTCGGATCTATATTTTTCTCTTGCATTCATTTATTTAATTTCCGTAGGGGGGTTAAAAAAAAAAGGGGGTATTGAAATTAAATCTCAAATATGAGATTATTTCATATTTTAAAATCTTGGCCGTGTCCAAGTAAAATTTGGTGCCTTGTGCACCGGTATTTAATTCTAACGGAAAATTATTTAGTTTCGTTAGGATAACGCATTGTCATCCGCGATTTGGCTCTTGTTGCCCGTCTTATACGTTAAACTAATTTAAACCGTTTCAAAACGCGTACAATCATTTGATCACGTTAACCCGGCATCCTACAACGTTAAATCTTATACATATAAAATGGTCCTTCGAGCCGGATTTTAAAAACCGATCGAGTGATAGTGAAATCGCGAAAAGAACGGGCTCCTTTGTTTCGTACCTTATTCGAACGATTGACAATTTCTGCCTCGTGTGCCTATATCGGGGCAGTAAAGTTAAAAACGCAGTGATCCGCGGCACGAGAAATCCGCTAATTACGCGTTCTCGTTTGGAGTAGAAAGACTCCGTGTGCGGGAGTGAGACCGCGCTACACAACAATTAGCCGTCGCGCGCGCTCCGAAACAGTCTCTCTCTCTCTCTCTCTCTCTCTCTCTCTCTCTTTCTCGTTCTCTCTCGAAGACGCGAAGAGCGAGGGAGACGGATCACCGTCGCGCGCGTTCCGAAGAATCTCTCTCTCTCTCTCTCTCTCTCGCGCTCTCTCCAAGACGCGAAGAGCGAGAGAGACGGTATCACGCCGCGCGCTCCGAAGCTTTCTCTCTCGCTCTCTCTCTCTCTAGCTGCGGCTCTCTCGATTGCGCGCTGCTCCGTCGCTCCGGCCTAAGCCGCGGCGCTCCGG